ACATTCCAACTTCCTTTGGTTAGGACACATTTTTTGGACACTTTCTGTCCTTATAGCCTTCCCCTGAGCTCCCTGCAATCATACTTGCATTGGGTGTTCCTGCTCCTCATCCCTGGGTTGTTTTTCTGGTTTTGCCTGATCTGTTTTGGCATGAGATCACATTGGCTTGAGTCAGACATACTGATAGTGAAAATGTATCGCTTCTATTGTATCTGTGATGATAGAAGCATATTCCAGACTAAAAATCCCCAAACCACCAAGCAAAGGGGCTGTGAATATTGCTGATAATACCTGTGTCCTGTCATGATTCTAAGGAAAAAGACTTTTCCTTTGTTTCTTGACTAAAACCACTCCTTGCTCCTGCCCAGCTCTCCTTGCTTGGAGCTGTTCATGGAGTTGTTGTTGTCAGCTGTTTGAAAAGTCAGTGTGAGACTGGAAGAGAGAACAAGGAGGGGAGAAAACAACTGTTGAGAAAGCACTGGGGATGTGTGACAACAGGTAGCTGATGGTCACACCTGAGCCTGGGGCTGGCTCCTGTTCCAGGGGGAGATTCCAGAGCCTTTTTCTCTTGGAGCCCTCTATGATAATGACCTGAGATTGTTTTTCCTTGGGGCCTAACAAGAGCAGGTGCTTATTTTCCCATCTAGTTTGTGTCAGGTGAAATGGTGTGGAGTAAGGTGGGTACTTGGGAGTGTTTGGGATGTGACACAGATCAGTGTTTGGGATCTGACACAGGTCTGTGCTGGGGTCTGACCAATGTTTGGGATCTGACATAGGTCAGTGCTGGGATCTGACACAGATCAGTGTTTGGGCTCTGACACAGATCAGTGTTTGGGATCTGCCAGCAGAGGAATATTTGTTGCCTGGAGTGCTGGGCTGCCCCCAAGCCTGGTTGCCTACCAGCCCTGCAACACCATTCCTTGTGTTTCCACATTAAAATCTTCTCTTGTTTACTCAGGAATGCTTCTTTTTTTTCTTGCAAAAAAAAAAAGAGCATTTCCCTGTGTTTACAAGTGATAGAAGTGTGACCTTTGAAGGGTTTCTATTGCTCAAGTACATTTGAAAAGCTCCTTTTGTTGACTTGAGTCACTTGTATTTTGCAGCGCACAAGAAGTAAAGGAACATCCTTTCTTCAAAGGCATTGATTGGCAGCAAGTCTATTTACAGAAGGTAAGGGATGAAGACAGCAATTTTAGCTTACTTGGTTAGCAGTAAAAGGAAAATAAACTCAAACAGGCAATGGACAGAAAATCTCAGTGCTCCAGCACATGAATATGGGGAGGGTTGTTGATGAAAGCTTCTGGATATTCCTTAGTGCAGATCTTCCTGGGTAGGAGCAGTGAATTCTTACATTTGCAGGGTCAAAGAACTGCATGGTTTCTGCTGCTTTGCTGCTCTAAACTGGAGAATTTTATCCCCAGACTTTTGGGGGAGCTTTAATTAAAGGAGTGGCACCAACTCCTACACCCACTGAAGTGAACTGAAGGGATGAACGTTTGCACAGTCAGGTGTAACTGTGCAAGAAATAAGAAAGTTGGATGTAACTACAGAAAGGAGTTACATATTTTCTATTAATTTGCCTTTAATTATGCTGCTTTTAATTTTCAGTACCCTCCACCACTGATTCCTCCCCGGGGAGAAGTGAATGCAGCAGATGCTTTTGATATTGGGTCGTTCGATGAGGAGGACACGAAAGGCATCAAGGTACTGGGGTGGAGGTGGCACTGGGACTGCTGTGCTTGACTTTCCATGTGTGCATGGCATTCCTTTGCCCTGGATGTGCAGGGAATGGGGACTCCACCACTGCCCCATTCCAGTGCTGGACAACCCTTTTGGTGAAGAGTTCTTTTTGCCTTGAGTGCAATTCAATTGAAGTGCTCAAAGGATTAGTGGAGCAAAGAATCCTTGTAAGGAGAAAATTGAGGTCTGCAGCACACCCTGCTGAATTGTGAAGGTTGATTATTAAGGATGTCAGATCATGTGGGAGCATGGTGCTGTGGAAAATTTATCTTTTCATTTATCCATGGAATTTTTGTGCTGAGGAAGTCTGGATGTATCAAACACTGCTGCTTCTATTTGAGCACCTATTTAACTGTGGAGCCTGGAGAACATTCTGGGACAATGCTGAGTGAGGATTTGAGAGCTATCAGACCAAAGGAGTGTGGAGCAGGTGGCCTGTTCTCTGCACATAAATCACTGTCTCTGCTTAAATTAGCCTCTTAAACTTCTCTTGCTTCATCTGTTTTGTGAAGGTTTGAGTCCAGTACCTCTTTTAATAACATTGTTGTATGGGCAGCTATGAACTGTTGGGGGTAAGAACAGTAAAAGTTACTAAAATGTTGGGTTTTGTGTTGTTTTTCTCTTGCAAGTTGCTTGATAGTGACCAGGAGTTATATAAGAACTTCCCTCTGGTAATATCGGAGCGTTGGCAGCAAGAAGTAGCAGAAACTGTTTATGATGCAGTAAATGCAGACACAGATAAAATTGAGGCCAGAAAAAGGGCTAAAAATAAGCAGCTTGGCCACGAGGAAGGTAATCTGTCCTTACACTTCTCATCTTTTGCTGCTAGATAGTAATTGCTGTGTTTGGAGTTCCACACCACTGACTCCCATCCCTGTCATTCACTGGGAATCGTCAGGACTCATTTAGTCACTCTTGTGTTGCTTAAGATGTTTCTTAATGTTTTGAAATGCTGCATGATGACATCATGCTTTGGAAGGAGCATCGTGGAATCAGAGCTCATGGAGTGGTTGGGGATGGAAGGACCTTAAAGCCCATCCAGTCCCACCTCCTGCCACGGGCAGGGACACCTTCCACTAGCCCAGGTTGCTCCAACCTGACCTGGACCCCTCCCAGAGATGGAGCAGCAGCCACAGCTTCTCTGGGCAACCTTTGCCAGTGCCTCAGCACCCTCTGAGTGTGTGGGCTTTGATTTCCTGGCCAGGAGCTGAGAAGGTCCCCAGGAGTTCTCATACAGCAAACGGCATCAAACCCCCAAATTTGGAGAGCAACGCTCAGTTCTTTTAATAACATACTTTAATGAGCTACCCTTCTAAGAACCAAATTGTGTTCCTGGTTCCTCCACTGCAGCCACCTCAGCCCTTGTAATTAGGGCAGGATTGGGGCTGTGTGGGCACACAGATTGCATCCCGCCGAGGGCACGTTGAGTCCCACGTGCCAGGTTCCTTCCCTGTGCCCCCTTCTCCACACAGCTCCCTGCAGAATGCCTTCAGCCTGCTCCTTGCTTTTCTTTGCTAACCTTTCCTCTTGTTGTAGATTATGCCCTGGGGAAGGACTGTATAATGCATGGATACATGCTGAAACTGGGGAACCCCTTCCTGACTCAGTGGCAGCGACGTTACTTTTACCTCTTCCCAAACCGACTGGAGTGGAGAGGGGAAGGAGAGTCCCGGGTGAGTGGGGCACACTGGGGGAGGCAGCTGGAGCTGGAGGCACAGCTGGGGGCTCACACTCTTCCTGTGCAAGTAGTAACTGCCCAGTGGATTTGGGTAACTTATCTCAAGCATCTCTGTAGTTAATGGGTAGCTACAGCGCACGGAGGAGACCTAAAGTTGCCTTGAGAAACCTGTTTGCTTTGTTCTGTTGTGTCTTTAAAGGAGTTTGGTAGTTGATGGTGTTGTTTTTCATTTAGGACCTCTGGACTATTTATACAAAAAAACACAAACTGGTAAGGTGGCGAATGCTATAGCATTTTGTGTCCCAGAAAATGCTATAGTGGCTGTAGTGTAGCTCAGCTGTGCTCATATGCAGGGCAGAGATTTGTGTTCTGAGCCAAGGAAGGGTTTGGAGTTTGAGACATTGTGTCCTCTGCAGTCTGGAGGGAAAGCTTTCCTGCACGCTGCTCTGTATGTTCACTTCAAAAGTATTCAGTGCTGAAATATTCCCTTTCAGCTCTTTGAATTAATCAAATTGGCCTGCCTTTTTTTTTTTTTTTTAAAACAAAATCCAACAGTAATACTTGGAAAATGCATCCAATTATATGCAACTCTTGAGGGAAATAATGAATATTCTGTTTGCAGACACACCTATTTGTAGATTCTTATTTCATGCTGTCATTACTGGCCTTTGGGCTGATATTCTGTTGTCTCTGTTGAAGCAACCAAGCCCCTTGTAAATCTCTTTCTTACCTTATACTCTATCTTTAGTTGCTGAGCCAACCCTCAGAAATAAATGTTTGTGTCATGAATCTTCGTGTTCATAACTCGATTCGTGTGGGCAGGCCAGAAAAAATGAGATAGTGTCTTTCTTTGATGGGCAACTGAGCTTTTGATTGCAATTAATTCTCTGCTCTTTTGCAAACACTGCAGCAAAACCTGCTGACAATGGAACAAATAGTATCTGTGGAAGAAACACAAATTAAAGATAAGAAATGCATCTTACTGAGAATTAAAGGAGGGAAACAGTTTGTCCTACAATGTGAGGTAAGACACTTGTGTTTCCATAACTTAATCAGATTGTTTGGCATGTGATAAACAATTTTTCGGGTCTAACTGCGTGAAGCTAAGCCAAAGTGTTTATCACAGTCAAAGTCTGAAAGCAGGAAACCTGCAGCTGTGCCAGTTCCTGTCATGGATTTCAGTGGGATTTGGGCCAAAATGAGTTTGGTTTAGTAAAGAGCTAAAAGCTTGAAAACCTCTCAACCTCCACAGGCTCCAAGGGCCTTGTTGGCCCATGTCTCCCTGCAGGGAATTACTGGTAGCTCGTGTGTGTGTGAGGAGGATGCCCAAGAGTCCTCAAAACATTTTGTCCAGCCTTGAGCAGGCGATGGAGAGGCCAAGGGCTGCACATGGCTGGTACTCAAAGTTGCTCCTTCCTTCAAACTCCCTGCAGGGAGTTGCTGGTAGCTCATGTGTGTGTGTGAGGAGGATATCCAAGAGTCCTCAAAACATTTTGTCCAGCCTTGAGCAGGCGATGGAGAGGCCAAGGGCTGCACATGGCTGGTACTCAAAGTTGCTCCTTCCTTCAAACTCCCTGCAGGGAGTTGCTCGTAGCTCGTGTGTGTGTGTGAGGAGGATATCCAAGAGTCCTCAAAACATTTTGTCCAGCCTTGAGCAGGCGATGGAGAGGCCAAGGGCTGCACATGGCTAATAGCCAAAGTTGCTCCTTCCTCCTAACTCCCCTAAGGTGCTCTCTAAGAGAGAAGACACTGTTGGCTGTTTACAATGAAGTGCCAAACTGCTTGTGTGTCTCTTCCAGAGCGACCCTGAGTTTGTGCAGTGGAAGAAGGAGCTGACAGAGGCGTTCACCGAGGCCCAGAGGCTGCTGCGCCGCGCGCCCAAGTTTCTCAATAAGTCTCGCTCCACGGTCGTGGAGCTCTCGAAGCCACCGCTCAGCCACAGGAACAGCAATGGGCTGTAGGAGGCACCAACCACCTTCACACGGGGAGAGCTACTTGGTGAACGTGCAGAGTGTCCCAGAATCCTTAGGAATGACTTTGTGCAATCCTGGCCGCGGGATGTGCGCGGGAGAGGAGGAGGAGGGCGATGTTTACAGCGTGGGATCCTGTCAGAACTCTGTCTCTGCTGGAGGCTCTGGAGGCTGCAGTGGTGGCAGGTGGACTCTGCTCCCGGCCGAGCGTCGAGGCTGCTCCTGCTCCCACTCCCGGCGGGTCCGACCTGCTCCGCTGCTCTGGAACTACTGATGGAAGGAGGAGGAGGCTGTTTTCCCTGCGATCCCTGGGGCTGGTGTGGGTGGCACCCGAGGTGACCCCACTGGGCCCTGCTGGATGCCCCTTCTCTGTCGTGTTGCCATGTCCTTTCCGACCATTACTGCTGACTCTCTGATAACCTTTCTCCATACTGCTGATGATCAACAGTGTGACTCTTATGCACTTCAGAGTACTGAATCCTAACTGTCCTGTGGTTTAAATGTTATTGCTACTTCCTGGGAGCATTGAACTCGAATGATTCCCTTGGTTTGTTGTACTCACTAATAGTAGCTACCACCGTTTTGCTTCTTCTACGTATATGCAGTACTATAACTGACACAATAGAGTAATAATTGGTGAAGAGGAATTTATGGTAGCTTCATCTATAGTGCTCTGTTGTATAAATCGACTATTTTAGCACAGTTTTTAAAGAGCAGATTCCTTTTGACAAGTTTACAGTGAACATAAAGACAGTTCTTTTCCATTTCAGGTCAACTGCACTTTTTAAAAATTAAAAGAGAAATGATTCAAATCCAATGCATCCTAGTGCATGTGCTGGGTTCAAGTGTCTGGGCACCTCGGTACGGATTCCGGAGCACTCTGCCCTTCTGGGACTCGTGGATCCTTCCCTGTTGTGCACAGGTGTGTTCTCATAGCATAGATATCCCAGATTTTCTCTGTAGCTCGGCCCAGGAGGTTCGTGCACACATCACATGGCTCAGCTTGAAACAGGATCTTTAATCTTCTGTTAAAGAGTTCAAACTGTCCACACTGAGAGCAGGCTGAGAGCTGAGCATGGAGCTGACAGAAGGAGCTGATCAAATGCCAGGTTCGTGTTTGTTCTGCTCGGGGCATCACTTGTGTCTTGCTGAAGGAAAGATCTGATCCCTGACCTGACACACAGCTTCAAGTTGGCCTTGCCCTGGGTGTTGTGATGGTTTGTAAGAGAGAGGTCAGGGCTGGATTGAAGCTTTTTACCTGATTCTGTGAACACCTTAGAGAAGATTTTCTGCCCAGCTGTGTTGATACAACTCCCACAGTCCCTGAAGACAGTGGGAATTGTGCCTGTGTGAATGGGAGCAGCAGTTGCCCCAACAGCTTCCCCATCCGTGTGGTTTGTCGAAGTGTGTGTGGCTGTCAGATAACCACGGAGTTCCAGACCTCTTCCTTGTAGAAAAGCAATGGAATTGGCTGGATTTGCTCTAGAAGAGGGGCTGGATTAGCTGCAGAGCTTGTGCCAACCCTGTCTGGCCATCTGGGGCTGCACCAAAGGACAAATGCCTTCTGGAAAATACCCCCTGTCAGTCAGTGATTCTTAACATGGTTTTTTTTCCCCCCCCCAATTATTTTCCAAGTTATTCCATATAGAGTTCCAGTCCCTCTCTCATTCCTACTGATAAGTGACACTGAGCATCTCAGCTCCTCTGTAAAGGAGCAGTGTCAGAGGTGATGAGGCAAAGGTTGGACTCAATGATCTTGGAGGTCTTTTCCAACCTAAATGATTCCAGGATTCTGTGTGTGCTATTTGGGATAGAAAAGGTCTCATCCCATTGGGTTTTGTTCACCTTTCCC